TCTCTTTCCCTCTCTCTTCTTCCCTCCTCCCCCTCTTCTCTTCTCCTCCCCTCTCTCTCTTCCTTCTCCTCTCTTCTCTTTCTCTCCTTCTCTCTCTCTCTCTCTTTCTCTCTCTTCTCTCTCTCTCTCTCTCTCCCTCTCTCTCTCCTCTCCCTATAACAGAGTAAAAAGTCCATTACTTGAAATATATAGATGAAATTCTCCACCCCCCTCATGGTACCCCCCCCCCCCCCACTTGCAATCTACTGTGATGCTTCTACTGATCCTCATGGAGCAGCAGGGATTGGTGTACTAATTTCTGTCTCTGAAACAGCAGGTTACGCTAACCAGGTTACGGATAGGATATAATACCTATTAATTGCGTACAGGATGCAGTTTTGGAGGCAAAGCCGTTACATATCACCACTGTAAAATGTGCAAGGCGCCCAAATCGCATAATCTTACACATTACTTACTTTGTTGCTCAAAAACTGCATCCTATCGATCAAATAGCACTGTCCAGAGACCAGCACTTATTGGTTATATTGATTTTATCATAGACACCGGTCTTGTCTTCGATATGATTAGGGATATCAAGGTTTTTTACCAACTAGATATGTGTATAATATAAGCATAATGACAGCTCTTCAGGCATGTATTATTAATAAATATAAGCATAGCTAGTTTGGATAGATGCTGTAGCATCTTACCCTGGCTTTTTGCAGAGCATGTACACTGTTCTGTAAATAAATCTTATCAAATCAAATCAAATCTCTCTCTCTCTCTCTCTCTTCTCTCTCTCTCTCTTCTCTCTCTCCTCTCTCTCTCTCTCTCCTCTCTCTCTCTCTCTCTCTCTCTCTCTCTCTCTCTCTCTCTCTCTCTCTCTCTCTCTCTCTCTCTCTCTCTCTCTCTCTGTCTCCCTCTCCTCTCTCTCTCTCTCTCTCTTCTCTGTCTCTCTCTGTCTCTCTGTCTCTCTCTCTCTCTCTCTCTCTCTCTCTCTCTCTCTCTCTCTTCTCTCTCTCTCTCTCTCTCTCTCTCTCTCTCTCTCTCTCTCTCTCTCTCTCTCTCTCTCTCTCTCTCTCTCTCTCTTTCTCTCTTCTCTCCTCTCTCTCTGCCTCTCCTCTTCCCTCCCTCCCTCCCCCCTCCCTCCTCTCCTTCCATCCTCTCTCCCTTCCCCTCCCTCCCTGCACCGGAGTCTTAAAAGGTGATCGCGAAAAATTGGCGATGAGTCGGTGAGTCATCCTTCCCCGCCCTCATTATGGGCGTGTGGGCGTGGAGGAAGGATGGCTGCACCTGCCACGTAATCTGCTATGATTATCCTTTGATTTTGTGCTTAGGATTGTCATACTGATGTCCTAATCCTTATGGCAACTCATAGTTAGAAATTTCCGAAAATCAAATCATTTTGTTTGTTTGTTTTTTTTCTCGTCTTCCTCCTTCTTTTTCTTTTTTATTTTCACTTTCATTTCTATTCTATTTTTTTCCTTTTTCTTTTGATTCTTCTTTTTTCTTCTTCTTTTCTTTCTTTTTCTTGTTATTTTTTTTCTTCTTTTTTTCTTTTTTTTTCTTTTTTTATACGGTTCTCCATTTCAACACCGATTAAGATTTCGTCTGCTGCCATCTAGAGATAAAAATGGCGTAGGACTGCCTTGAAAAATCCTATCTCGGTTCCTTGTTTTAATGTTAAAACAATGCCATGATTTAGAGGGATACGCACACATTGCTTGATTTTTATTGAAAGGTGATTTTGTTCCGTGTGCGTAAATACAGGAAGTAATTCTATGTATGCTGTAGGATCAGCTATTTCTTAAATAATCTATGTAATATGAATAGTTTTACTCTGCTTTCCCACGATATTCAAACCACAAAAACATTATTAAGTGTAATTTCCAAAACCGGTATTGGATCTTGTCTCTAAGAGGTCAGCGGTTGTTGGAGCATCACTCTAAATTCTCCCGTCTTTTTTGTCACTTTTTTTTCCCCCGTTTGCGAAATTACTACGATGACGAGACTCCATACCCTTAGGTGCGCAACCTTGAAAGCGCAGATTTTTATTATCACTTAAAGACTCGCAAGTGCGTTGTATAGCTCCCGTTTTCAGAGTGCGATCGAGTTTGTAGGGAGCTTCTCTTCTCTTGAATGTCATCGGGTAATATAACAATTATGGCACAAGAGAAAAAAAAAAATGTTCCACGCCAATACACCTTCGTCATCGCCTCATTTCCGGTCGTAAAGGAGATGCGTTTCAGTTCCCGATAAATGGCGTCCACAGCAAACGTTGTCTTCATCGGGAGAGAAAAAAAAATATACGTTATCGAGGAAAATGAGACGAGCTATTGATGTTATGCGAAGGAAAGAAAATGCTAGATGATTAATGTGAGAAGCAATATGGACAAGTAACGTGCATCGTACAGCTATAAGAATATAGTACTAACTGGCACCATCCCCAAAAGGGTAGACTATATAAGCAGGGACAACTGCGCTTCAGGCCAAGTTCGGGTTTAGTTTCAGGAAGATGAGAGTGTTGGTGAGTGGCAAGCTGTAACTTTTGCGAAAATGTGATTTCAGTGGTGATATATACATGTACATACACATGCGCGACACAACACACACACACATAACACTACACGCACACCACGCACGCACGCACACATACGCACACGCACACATTCACCGTCTGCTCCTTTTACGCAGTTCTATTTTTTTTTTTTTTTTTTTTTTTTTTTTTTTTTTTTTTTTTACAGCTATATCATGCATCATGATTGGCTTTCCGATTCCATAACACACTTTTTAAGTTAGGAACATTGAAAACTACCTTAATATTTGTGAAAAGGATTTAGTAAATGACAGATTATATAACATGAGGACAGCGTTCCTGCGTTGTCAGTGAAAGGGAAGATTAGCCTTTCTGCGATCATTCCGCATGTCGCCGCCTCTGACGCCCGCGCGCTTGTCGTGGGCGCCTCCCGCGTTGAAATCCTCGCTTGGGGATTTTCCGATTTGTCAGTTGTTAGAATAGTTATTTATCGCAGGAATCGCCTTGAGAGCTGCGCCCGCATGAGAGCGCACTCCAGAGCGCCCTGGTAATGATTGGTATTCTCCGCAGGTGCTTCTGGCCGCAGTGGGCGCCACGTGCGCAGCGCCGGCCATCGTCACGCCCGCCTCAGCCTCCGTGGTCGCCCCGCCCACCGCCGCCCACGTCGCCGTTCCCTACGTGCCGCCCGTCACTTACATCGCGCGCCACCACGCCCAGGACGAGCTCGGGCGGGCCAGCTACGGCTACTCGTACCCGGGGCAGTTCCAGAGTGAGGAGCGCGACGCCCTCGGCAACGTCGCCGGCGCCTTCTCTTACGTGGACGCCGACGGCAAGACGGTCCTCGCGCAGTACACGGCGGGCGAGGGCGGCTTCAGGGTGAGGGCCAACCACCTCCCCGTGGCGGAGGCCCCGCCGCTCAAGGACACGCCCGAGGTCACGGCCGCCAAGCTGCAGTTCGTGGACCTGTTCAACGCCGCGGCCATCGCCGCCGCCGAGGCTCCCGACGAAGGCGAGAGCGAAGTCGTTGCCGGCCTGGACGACCAAGGGCATGTGGTCGTGGAAGTTCCGGCGCGGAGCCTCCCCAACCCCGTGAGGGACACGCCCGAGGTCACGGCCGCGAAGATACAGTTCGTGGACCTGTTCAAACCGCGGGCCCTCGCCGGCCGAGGCTCCGACGAGGGCAACGGCGAGGGAGTCGTTGCGGTCTGGACGACCAAGGGCATGTGGTGTGGAGTTCCGGCGCGGAGCATCCCTAACCCCGTGAGGGACACGCCCGAGGTCACGGCCGCCAAGCTGCAGTTCGTGGACCTGTTCAACGCCGCGGCCATCGCTGCCGCCGAAGCTCCCGACGAAGGCGAGAGCGAAGTCGTTGCCGGCCTGGACGACCAAGGGCATGTGGTTGTGGAGGCTCGCACTGACCTCGGTCCGAAGGGGTCCTCCGACCCAGCCGCCATTTCAGCCGACGCAGACACTGAAGGCAACGAAGGTGAAGTTGTGTCCGCGACGGCTGGCGAGTCCCTGGGCAAGGCGGCTGATGCCGAGGCAGCAGCAACTGACGCGCAGCGCGCCGGGGTTCTGACGCTGGGTCTCCCCGAGCCCGTCAAGGACACCCCGGAGGTCACGGACGCCAAAATCAAGTTCATGAACTTGTACAACGCGGCGGCCATCGCAGCGGCAGCCGCTCCCGATGACGTTGCTGGCGACGCAGCGGCAACTGACAGCGCCGACTCCGTCGCCGACGCCCGCGAGGAAGCCATAACCGAGGCGAGCGCCACGCCTCCCCCCCGCGGAGGCCGCGGAGGCCGTGACCGAGTTGGGCTCCGACGCCGAGGAGAACACGGAGGCCCCCGAGGCAGCGACGGCAGACGAAGCGGTTACGGAAATCGCGCCCGTCGGGGAATCGGTTCCTGAGGCGGAGGCGAGTGAGGGGAGTCACAAGGATCTCGCTGAGGCCGCTGAAGCGAGCGAAGTGAATCACAACGAAATCTCTGAGGCCGCCGAGGTCGAAGGCGAAGCCGTGCCAGAAGACCCTCAGCCGGCGAACGATGAAGGTGATGCCGCGCCCGAGACTCCCGCCGCTGCCACGTCGGCGCAGGTCCTCTCGCCGACCCTGGTCGCCGAGGCGACGGAGAACGCCGTTCCCCCGTCGCAGCAGGGCGTCGTGTCCCCCAGAACGGGGCAGGACGCGCCCGTCTCGAATAGCATCGACCTCACTGGCCCCGAGGAGGACGCGGCCCCGCAGGTGGCCCTGGCCTCGCAGCTGGTGTTCTCCCCGCACGGCCACAACGCCCTCGGCCCCTGGTACATCTTCGGCCTCGCTCGCGGCGCCCACGGCTCCCTCATCCCACTGCTTTCCCAGCACCCCGTGGCCGACGCTCAGGGAGCAGCCCTCAGGCCGCTCTCCCACCACACACCTGTGGGCGCGTCCAGGTACGCCTTCCACTACGCCCCTCGCTTCGCCTCGCTCACCCCGCTTTGAAGGCCGGGTGTCGAGTGCGTCCGCCCACGCCGCCCGAGGAGGACTGACTAAAGATCTTTGTTCCGGGTTCTGTAAGCTTTATAGAAACCTCTTAAGTTCAATTAAACTTGTTATCAGCAGTTGCCTTTTATTCTTCCCAAGTATAAGACTTACATGTGTTTGGGCAGAATAAACTACATTTAAATAGCTAATTGAATTAATAAATATGCATAGATACAAAAACATACATAAAGAGAGAGAGAGATAGAAGGATGGAGAGATACTTAAATGTGTGTATGTGTGTTTAAGTTAGATTTAATTAACCATTCCAGTTCAGTACACTGCTTCAAACTTTGTTTATACAAATAAGATTGATTTGTTAGAGATTCATCCGAGGTATTATCCGCTTGTCTGATCATTAATTTTGAAGTACCCAAGTCAATCATTAAATAGTTAAATCACCAACTTGTTAGTTATCAATTAATCATCCACATTAACCTATACAGTTGTCATCATCAATCAGTCAGTTTTTAATATAATCATCATAACTAACCAGTCATTTATCAAGTCATAGTCAGTAACCAATCAGCTATCAAATGATAATCAATAGCTAAACCAATCAGCTATCAGGAAAATGGTTAATGGTTAAAAAGCAATGTGCTCGACATCAAAGGTCATACAGCACTATAGGAAGGTCTAGTATCGGAACGGGTAAATAGTGGGTAAGTTAATGTTTAGGTGCAACATGTCAAGTCGTACAGCAGTTGTATAGTGCTGGAAAGGGTAAAGATGGGTACAGGTGGAGAGGATGGGTGAATGGGTTAAGGTAGGAACAAGCAAGGAAGAATTAGGTCAAGTAAAGGATATGCATGCGTCTGAGGAAGGATAGGTCGTCAAAGCAGAAATTGTTAGAGTACGTAAGGATGTCTGACAGATTGGGAGGTCAGTGAAGGGAGGATGGGTGAGGGAGAACAGAGGTACAGGCTGCAGTAAAGCGTGGACAGGACAATAGAATGTGTGAAGCTGAAAGAGGAACTTTACATAGGGAACATAGAAGCAGATCCGAACGTGACAGGAGATAGTAGTGCACCAATCGGGTGTGGCCAATACGCAAGCGGGTAAGAGCCGTCTTCCAGCGTCTGCTCTGATGAAATGGAGCTCACCAGGAGGAGACTGATAGTTTTACAGATTGACTTCATTGATGAAGACGATCAGAAATATTACCAACAGCACAAAGGAAGGTCTTAAAGTGGGGACAATAATCCGTGGCTGGAATACGTGAGAAACGGGGTTGGTGTGTAGACATTGTGGCGGAGCGTGCTAGAGTATCTGCCTGTTCTTTGCCGGGGATTACGACATGGCTGGGCACCCAGCAAAACCTGGCAGATTTGTGGCTTGTAGACAGGTAGAATAACCAGTCTTAAATGTTCTAGACAAGGGGATTGGTCGAATGCATAGTCTTTATAAGAGATAATGAGTTACGGGAGTCAACAAAAATACTGAAAGTAGGAGGAAGGGGGAGAGCACGTGTTTTAAGAGGAAGAAAAAGGAGCAATATAGGATCCATCTGAGAACAGGGAGAATGTGATGGAAGTGCGTTGTTTGGTGGTCTTAATGGAAGAGAAGTGTGGAGAAAGGTGAAAGCCGGTACTGACTCGGCTAAAATAGTCAACCAGTTCATTAGAGAGGATCAGAGGAAGAATAGGTACAAAGGGGAGGGGGGGTAGAAACATCTTGGGAGGAAAGGAGAGGGGCAGAGCGAACATCATTTGGAGTAGGGACTAAGAAAAAAAACTCGTTGACGTGCTTTCTGTCTGGCTTCGCGAAAAGTAAGGCCAAGTCTGAATCTGAGTTGCCACTTCAGACTCAAAGGTGTTGGTAGGGCAGCCCCTGTAAGATGCATTAAGGGGGACACCACTATTGACCCACGGACCATGTAGAACAGTTTGAGTGATCATGACCAGTTTGGCCACACATAGGGCATCGGAGCGGTGCGATAGTGTTTGGCAGGATGCCCTAGACGCCAACGTATTCTGACATTAACGTGGTCGGACAGGGAGGGATCCTCCCCTAATGTAAGCATTAAAGGGGAAGCCATGTTTACGGAAAGTAATTTTGGCAATATTGGTGGGGGTCTCACGACGGCTTCTAGGAGGAATAGTGTAGCATTGTACCGATACTGCATCATAATCCATGAACTAGGCAAGTAAGTCTTCTCCACAATCTAACCCATCCTTGTCGTAGACAGGGCAGTTTGTAGGGGAGATGGAGACATTTCCGGTACTTGTATGGGGGGGGGGTATAGGTTTACCAGTGAAGTCTATCGGGGTTGATAATGATTCAGTTTGGGTTTTAGGTGTAAGTGACACGTCGGGAACGATCGGATGAGGATGGAAACTGCCTACTTGTTTCTGGAGACACTGCTGGAAGAGCGGAAGGTTGTTGTCAGAGTGGGGAGTTGTGGAGGGGATAACGAAAAATCGATCCCATTTGGCTGGGCTAAAGAGTATTCAAGAGATTTGCAGGCGAGGATAGTAGAAAGGCGGGCACGTGTAGAAGAGGGAGTAGTTTTCAGAGCTGTAGCACTGCGGAGTGGTGGGTAATAAGACTGTATAGTAATAAGGGAGGATGGGGTACTTGATGAAAGTTGTGGAGGTGGAGGCAATGAAGTAGAGGATGCTAGGAGAGGAATGTCTCCTGGAGGTTGAGAATTGACCTGGATGATATGATTGGACTGATGTGACAGTAGGCATTGAAGAGGAGACAGTAGTAGCAGAGTTCAGTTTTGGTCAAAAGAGAGTCTTGGGTCGGGGAACTGGCAGAATTGAAATCAGTGGGGCTATTTGATAGAGGGTCAAGCCTCAGTGCCCCTAATAACAAAACAAAATCTTCATTACTGGCCATGGCAAGCCTACAGTATGTTGTGGAGAGAAACTCCTCCCCTCAGGGTCCCCTTGAGGGGTATACAACTAAAACTAGGGAATACCGTGCCAGTGGCTCCCCAGGCCGTTTATGTCTGGCACAAAATCAGCCTTTCATAGTTTCAACTCAGCTGTCACACCTTTGGATGTGGATAGTAGAAGGGGTTAGAGAAGAGAGGGAAGCAAAAAGGGAAAGGGGAAAAGACTGTGCAACCTTAGTTGAGTCGGGGGCTGAGGCCCAAGGCTGGGGTGTTCCCCAGGATTGGGTCCCAGTCTCCTACCCCCCCACCCCAACTCTACACGACAACAGGCATGGGACTGCAAGGGGGAGAAGGAAGTTATATTGCTAAACTCTAACATTTGACTGTAAATTGGTAGGTCTTAGGTTTGACTCTATTACTCGTCTCATCTCGGGAAATATTTTGGCAACTCTCACCAGACTCCAGTTCTCCAAGCTTATCTAAATCTTTAAAATATGTTAAAGGCAGCAAACGTCATTAAAACAGTAAAATATGATACTCAATTTGTAGAAATATGTAAATTTGTTTTGAGTCACCTTTTCAGAATAAGAGTGAGACTTATTAGTGAATCAGATACTCCAAAGTCAGGGGTGAGTCATAAAGTTTTATTTTTTCTGATTTTGGAGGTCAAAATCCAATTTTCCTTCACCTTCAGCTATAGATATCTTTGAAGAAATGTACAAAAAAAAGTAAAAGAATAATTATATATGTAGGTCTACATGTTTATATAGATACATATAGAGAGAAAGAATGTTTCTATGTATGTATTCATTTATATGAGAATAAATCTTAGATAGATTTTGAGGTTGCATCATGTGATGAAAATATAAATTTGAAACATTTCATTCACATCTCAGTTTCATGAAGTTATATTCATTTAAACCTTTTCATCTTTTTCTCCAAAACAGTGATCTATTAGTCTGATAAACTGACAAAGCTGATGTTGCACGTTATGAATTTTAATCATCCTCTTTTCTTTTCCATGCAGGTATGCTCACAAACTTATAAAACAATCTAATTAATGTATATGAAATCATTCCTAGGTTTCTTCCTAACTTCCTAAAGGTCAATACAGAAAGGAAGAGATTCCGTGTCATTCAGTTCATCCAGTAAATCAACTGTCAGTTACCTTCAGGAAATCAAGAAGACAAACCTGTTGATAAGCCTCTTTTATTAATGACAATGATTCTGCATGTGGTCCTTTTCAAAACCGATCAGCAAAAGGGTTCCAAAAATATCCGTACAAACCCACAGCATCCGATTTCCAATAACTGCCACGGAAGGAAGATACTGCGTGTAGAATAACAGTTAACATGTAAATGTATAGATGATGGGGTGTTTGAAAACTCTGAAAGCAAAGGCAACATCTTACTCTTAATTTCCAGTCACATCAATTTCTTAATTTCTTGTCTTTCCGCCAATAAGTGAGAGAACTTGTTTTAGTCTCAATTTTTTAACCCATTTCCTGTTCTTAGACTTAAAATGAATGAATTTAATAAATGCAAACAAAGATATCCTGCTAACCCCCAACCTGTTACATAATAGAGGATTTCACTTACATAGCACATATACCAGTAAATCACTGACTCCAAACGATATAATGTTCAAAATGTATAAATATTTTCATAGTGTCTACAATTTCATACTAAACAATCAACACTAACTACACAATATATGTTAAAAGATGTTAAAAGAAAATTATCTTTTTGACAGGAAACAGTATACATGTGCCTCTTACAATTTGACAATAAACTATATAAAACAACATGCTTTCTTTTGTAACTAAACCCAAAATACTTACTCAAAATCCACTTGCTTTTTCACCGAGCCACAACATTCTTCATGTTACATTGTGCTGTACAGTAATGCTAATGTCATGTGATGATATGCAAGGAAGTTTTGTAGCTGCAAGGTAGGTTCTGTTTGCTAAACCTGGATCACCTGATAAGAGTGATTTGTTGCAGCAGGATTTACTACATTTTTTAGGCCTAATGGAGCTTAACATTCATAAATATCACATTGCTTTATATAAAAAGTTATCAAAGAAATAATTAGTGTTGTATGAGTTAACCCAGAACTATCCATAGGCAAAATATGAATCAGCGTTTCCATGACATAAATGAAGATGACAAACACTATCTGATAAATACTTATACAAAAATATGTCCGAATACTGTATGATCCATTTGCAAATTAGGTACAGACTCTTTTATAAAATCAGAAAAAGGAATTACAAACTAAAATCAAAGCATAAAACATCTGTTCTTGACACTTGAACTGTACTTGTAGGACGTACTTCTCCAGCAGTACATGCTTCTACCTTCACATTGCTCTGAGTAGGCATGGCACTATATGGGAAATACTTCACATTTCTTTGTGAAGGTCTTCAAAAGATATGCTTCACCGACACGAGATCATTAATTCCTAACCAAATTCCAATTTATAAGATTTTTTTTTCTTTCTTTTTTTTTTTACATCACAGACAACTGACTCGGCACACTGCATGGTTATTGAAAGTAAATTGACAAAAAGAAAAAAAAAAAAAAAAAAAAAAAAAAAAAAAAAAAAAAAAAAAAAAAAAAGAAAAATAAATTCTCATACATGCACATTCAACAAGTCCAGTTGGACGCGTGCAGAGTCACTTGGCATGATGACGTGTGACGGCCACAGCTATCTATACAAGACAAGTATCTAGCCGAAGAATATGATCAGCTCTTCTTCTTATTGAGAACCTTTGCAAGCTGCTCCTTCTTGGCTGCTGCTGCTTCTTCTTTTGCTGAAAGAGACAAAAGTGTCGAGTCATTTGTTGTTCTACAGGATACAATATCTTGCCAATATCATTAGTTTCTTTGTGGTGGTCATCATGTGCACATCAATTCTAGCTGGAAAAAAGTATTTCCTACCTTTTCGTTCCTCTTCTTTCTTTTTGGCAGCCTCTTCGCGCTGCTGTCTTATAAGAGCAAGTCGTGCCAAATCTGCCCTGGCTTCCTCGGTTTTCCCTTCAGCATGCATTTTTCGGTAATGTGCTGTAGCTCTCTGCTTCTCAATCTCTTCCCTGATAAGGTAAATATTTATTTAAGTATATCATTTTGTCATTTCTAAGGACAATCAGAAAAAAAAAAAAAAAAAATTATATATATATATATATATTATATATATATATATATATATATATATATATATATATATTATATATATATATATTAAAGTAGTAAACTTAAATGCATTTCTTATGCAAGCAAGTGACTAGATTTCCCTAGTTATATAGTTAATGGAGGAATCTGTTTACCAAGTATGAACTGTGCAGTAAAATGTTTACAGAAAGAGCTTTACAAGAAATTTCAAATACTATTAACTTCATTATTACTGACATTGACAAGTAATACAAATAACAATAACATTAAAAATAACATACAATAACAAAAAAAATCTCAATTATCATCATCTTTTTGAAACTTAAGGAAAAGGATAAACAGGAGATATATCTCGTGGGACTAGTATATGATTCTTTGATGACTAAGCTTTTGTGGAGCTATCTATGTGTAGGCAAAATCAGTAAACTAAAATCTTGATGAACAATGAAACAGATCTGCGTCAAGTACAATTGAAAGATCACAATTCCATTGAACAAGACCCTTCCAGGTGTTTTCTGCACCTGGTAAAACTTACATAAAGTTACCAAGAATCTGCAAAAGATTCTGACCTACATAATTCAAGACAAACACAGTAACTGCATGAAAGAGGAAAATGTATTTTTTCTTTCTTTCTTTCTTTTTTTATGATTGTTAAATCTTGTTTTCTTTAACACCCACACAACTGGCTTCCATGGTATATGTTATGATCTTCACAAAACACTTGATGTATTGTTGGGAGTAATTATCTATTTTCAAGTATTCTGAGCTATCAATATAATTTTAACCATTTTATTTCTAATATTCCACCATGTGTGCTGAACATCTGTGTGTGTGTGTGTAAAATGACAGCATGCATTATTTCTTTTTTCACCTGTGACAACGAGTTCTCTCCTACACCCTCCCACACAGTATCATATACTTGTGACCCCATGCCACCAGGAAAATGTAGTGTTCACTGTAGTTTATTTTTGTGAAATGTCTTCACATAGATGGCTACACAAGTACTCAGCTGCCAAGAAGTCAATTACTTGAACTAGTGACCTCACCTAATTCCCCCTCTCCTCGAGTTTCCGGGAAAACCATTTCTTTGCTAATGCTATCAATATCGATGCTGTTATCACTATAGACATTATAAACATTATAATGTTACAACATTAATAACAATAAGAGACAAAAGAAAATGTTTCCAAAAATCAAGGGAAAGGGTAAACAGGTTACATAGGCAGTACTATTAACTGACTTGTTGGTGACTAATCACCTGTGGAGCCATCTATGTGTAGAGACATTTAATAAACTAAATTCACATTATGCATGGCATGACAAAGATGTCATCCCTAGTGGCACTGGATTAATTTCATTGTAAGAATAGAAATTAAAATACAATATATTCAATCATATTTGCAAAAAAATTGTTGGAATTATCATATCTATTATTTATGATTTCGATTTAACTGTTTATACAAATACTTGTAACATTTCAATATTGAATTAAAACAATAATCATCAGCAAGGTTTAACAAGATCTCATCACTATGGACATAAAATCAAACCACTCTGCGCATTCCCATAGTTCATGTGTTCGGCGAGATCTGACCAGCAGGTATGATCTAACTGTGGTCATGTCACCATCTCTCTCAGCCTTCAGTCCTCTTTGTTACATCTTGTAAGACTAACATAAGCATCATTAGCCTGAACTTCTCCCTCAACCCAGTCAATTTCAAGCTAAGAAAATTTTCATAAGATTCAGCTTTCTGTAACACAAACTGCACTGCTCATCACAGCAGCCAAGAATAGGATACTGAACATGGAAATAGCGCCCTCCCTGGAGCTGATGCAGCCAAATTTTCCCAAAACTGTATGTTCATGTCACCTTCAGCCAAATCTGGATCGTAAGGGTTAAAATACTTTTTTTTTCTAATCTTTATAATAACCAATCAAAATTATCATTGATATAGAGTAATTCTAACATGACTGGAATTACACATAAGAGTGGTAATGCTGTCCTTACTATAAAACCACTGAGCTCACTCTGGAGAGAGGGAAAAAATAAATATGTTCTACAATGCCTGTACAGAAACACATTTGGTATAGGATCAACTTGTCCATCCTTTAATACAAGAGAATATCAAGAGCGATAAGAAGCATAACAAGACCCTAAGGGTATGAAAATATAATCTAGAGGAGGCGTGTCAAACATGCGGCCCACAATGCTTCAATGTGAGGCCCACAGCACAATTGCTGTTTCAGTTTTACAGTCAGCTGTTTTACATGATTAATTAACCCTATGCCCCCAGGTGACATGTATGTACATACCATGCCATAATTCTCTCTCACATATCAATAAATAGGATCCTCTTCATATAGTGTTCTTGTCCAATAACTACTGGCAACATTACACAATACATGACTATTAGCTAATGAGAGAAAATAGAAAATAAAAAGAATATGTTTTTATACTTAAGTGAATTAATAAATATGGAAACTTAATCATTCATATCAAGTAAATCCATCAAACAAGTATATAAAATCAAAGCTCGATACACCAGATGAGTTTTTACATCCAAAAACAAACTGACAAATGCCATATGGAGTGGCTGTCAGCCCCAAGTTATCAGCCATAATCAATTAGTTTGACCTTAAAAGGGATGTGAATATTGAATCCCACTTTCTACTAATTTGCTGAGGTCCAAACTCTCTAACTCTCCTGTAAGCACACGAATGTTCATGTAGGCTAGACCTACAAGTCACACACCCGAGAGTCACCACTAAAGTAAGCCAAATTGGGCACAAATTTTGGCCCACATTAGAGCAGCAAGGCACCTAGATCCAATGGGTTAATATCCCCTTTTTATTCAACAAGAGAACAATCATTAAAAATCTCTTCTTTCAGAGCATTCCTTCAAATTGGTCAACTATTCATGCACCTCCTACCTCTCTCGACGGGACAGCTGGGGTTTACCGCCACCTGTGGCAGCCACACTGATTGCTGCAACCTTCTTTGGCTTGGCTACAACTCTGTTTGGGTTTTGGGTTTCAATGAGGTTGGAAACGCCCTTGGCTTTCTGCTCCTTTGTCTCTTCCTCACTGCCAGACTCCTCTTCGGAAGAGGATTCTTCACTGCCCGAACTCTTCCCCTCCTCCTCCTCCTCCTCTTCACTATCGGTCTCTCCTTGCTCCCTCTATGCAAAATCAAAGTCAAAACAGTTATTTTAGCATAAAAATAAAATTGACATACTGCAATAATATATACATTACTACAGAGCTGGGCCCTCCAAGGGTACAACTCTCTTAGGAAGACTTTGTACAAATTTGTATATATGCAGTGACTTATGAGGTCTAACCTACAAAATAAGGAAACAAGAAAATAAATAGACACTTATATAGCACTAAAATATATCCACCAAAACACAATATGGCAAAATATAATAGTTATAACATCTGGGGCATCTAAAAATCAAAGTAATAAACAAAAAGCAAAAATGCTACATGACAAATTAGGTACAAGACAAACAAACGGTGGAAAAAGAATTTTCCTTCACACAACACTCGCTCACTTGCTATGCAGTTACCATCATGTTTACTTTCAAGACAACCAGAATTGTTGTTGTAAATTATTGACATTGTAACAACAAAATATATATTCACATTTGCTTTACACAATACACTGCATATCCCTAAAAAGGGAAATATAGTGCTGGACATCTAAATCTGATAATTAATCAGGTAAAATACTCCATATAACTGTTGAAGTTTTGGTAAAACTTTAAATTTTGGGGTTTCCTTTCATTTGATATTAAATTTTAACTTTTATATCAATGGTGTCTGAGTCTGTAGCAACCAAAAAGTCAAATATCCCCATTCAAAGTTCTAAAAAAAAAAAAAAAAAAAAATGCATCACATCAAAACAAATACATACACTTTTTTATTCAGAGACTTGTGTAGTAGTCTACACTAGTTATGAAGGACTCTGTAAAAGGATTACCTACTAAAGCATAGCACTGTTGACAAAGGGGATAGGCGGCCAAGTGGAATACTATGCATTCAAAAAGCAAAGTGCCAACTGTGGTAACAATAAGACCCCAACTTACTCTCCATTGTCGCTCCTTCTCCTCCTTCTTCTTCTGCTCTTCCAAAGCTTCGAAGTTGGTGAAGTGCCGACGGCCTCCCTTGTGCTTTCCTGAAATAATAGTAGTATTCACAATTTTTTCAAGCTATTCATTGTAGGTTCTAATTCTAGGTTCCATTACCAAGTTCATCTCTAATTCTTCATACAGAAATAAAAATAGGCAAGTACCTAATTAAAATCAAATGACAGAAAAGAAGGAAAATTGATATCAGAACATTTCAAGCTTCCCTATTGTAAATTCCTTAAAGAAAATTGTTACACCATAATCATCAACAAAATATGTATAGCATGCACAGAAAGACGAAGGGAGAGGGGGGGAATGGAGATGGATAGAATGAGGGAGAGGGGGGGGGGGGAAGGAAGAGAGGGGGGTAGAAAGACGAAGGGAGAGGGGGGGTAGAAAGACAAAGCAAAGGGGACAAAGGTAGAGAGGGGGGGAGGGGGTAGAAAGACAAAGGTAGAGAGGGGGGGAGGGGGTAGAAAGACAAAGGTAGAGAGGGGGGGAGGGGGTAGAAGACAAAGGTAGAGAGGGGGGGAGGGGGTAGAAAGACAAAGGTAGAGAGGGGGAGGGGTAGAAAGACAAAGGTAGAGAGGGGGGGAGGGGGTAGAAAGACAAAGGTAGAGAGGGGGGAGGAGTAGAAGACAAGGGAGAGAGGGGGGGAGGGGTAGAAAGACAAAGGTAGAGAGAGGGGGAGGGGTAGAAAGACAAAGGTAGAGAGAGGGGGAGGGGGTAGAAAGACAAAGGTAGAGAGGGGGGAGGGGGTAGAAAGACAAAGGGAGAGAGGGGGGGAGGGGTAGAAGAGACAAAGGTAGAGAGGGGGTAGAAAGACAAAGGTAGAGAGGGGGGAGGGGGTAGAAAGACAAAGGGAGAGAGGGGTAGAAAAGACAAAGGTAGAGAGGGGGGGTAGAGGGGTAGAAAGACAAAGGTAGAGAGGGGGGAGGGGGTAGAAAGACAAAGGTAGAGAGGGGGAGGGGGTAGAAAGACAAAGGTAGAGAGGGGGGAGGGGTAGAAAGACAAGAGTAGAAAGACAAAGAGAGGGGGGGAGGGGGTAGAAAGACAAAGGTAGAGAGGGGGGAGGGGTAGAAGACAAAGGTAGAGAGGGGGTAGAAAGACAAAGGTAGAGAGGGGGGAGGGGGTAAGAAAGACAAAGGTAGAGAGGGGGGGGGGGAGGGGTAGAAAGACAAAGGTAGAGAGGGGGGGAGGGTAGAAGGAAAAGGTAGAGGGATAGAAAGACAAAGAGAGAGGGAGGAGAAGGGAGAGGAAGGTGAAAGACGAAGGGAGAGGGAGGTAGAAAGACAGAAGAGAGAGGGAGGGAGAAAGAGAAGAGAGAGGAAGGGCAATTAGAAGGAAACAAAATAGATAAAATGAAAAACAAAGGAATGAGGAAATAGGTAGCACAGGAGGGGGGAACAGAAAGGGAGAACGGGAATAGAGAGAATGTGAAGAGGAAATGAAAGGGAAGGAGAATACAGAAAAGAGTGGAGAGGAAAGAAACTGAAAGTGAGGGGATTCTGGTAGAATGGGAGAGGGGAAAAGATAGAAAGTATAAAGGTATGTAAAGAGAGAAGGGGAAAAAAAAACAAAGAGGGAAGAAGAGTTGCTTGAAAGGGAGAAAATCAGACAGATAGGAAGCAAATATACAAGGGTAACTGATAAAAGCATTGAGGAATTAATGAGAAAGGGGGGGGGGGAGAAAACGAACAATTGAGGTGATATGGAAGAAGTATAAATGTCAAAGAGAGAAACGAAAGGGGGACAGAAACAAGAAGGAAAGACAGAGGGGCGGGGGGGGGGGGGAATAGATGAAAAGGGGTTAAGGGTAAACAGATGAAAAAGGAGGGAAAATTAAGTTACCTGGAATGGGAGTAAATTCATGAAGTATAATAGGAAGCCCTTTGCTAAAACTTGGTATAAGAGTGAACGATTTTTGAATGATATTCCTATAGGCAAAAATAATGCTGATGAGTACTCGAAACTGATTTTTGATCTAAAAACCACACTGCAAACAGAGTAACAGGTGTCAATCAATATTTTAACCAAGAAAATATAGCAAATGTCTAGAATTCTCATTATGAAATACTACAATTTTTTTTTGCAGTTGCAGCAGATTAGAACCTCTCATCTTGCACATACTGCTAGCTTAAGCAATCACCTGATGCAATGCAATATCAATGATTTTTTAAACATGAGATACTTAGTCCCTGATGAATAGCACAGCATTCTATTGTGTTGATGAAATGACAGAAAAATCCACAACATGCAACAGAAGTTTATGGCAGGTTCATAAGAAGACTGAATCAGACCAAATCGGATGCAAAAGGGGCCAAAACAGAGCTTGTTGGAGATTATTTTCATCCTCTAACCCAATGTCGACAGGAAAATGGTGTGTTCCCTTTGGCAATGCTTGGTTAAATGTTTCTGCACATAGGTGGCTCTGCCAATGGTTAGCCATAAAGGAGTCAATTAGTAGATCTCCCAACCTCACTTTTCCTTGAAAAAGCAGAAAAAACTTTTTTTACTAATGCTATCAATATTGACACTGCTATTTTCATTATAAACATTATAATTACTATATTGTTACTGACATTACTAACAGCAGTATCAAATATTGGAAAATATTATCGAAAATCAAGGAAAGGGGTAAACAGGTGAGCCAGGTAGTTAGCGTAATTGGCTCATTGGTGACAGTACTTGTGGAGTCATCTATATGTAAATAATTACTAAATTCAACACACACAAAGGGCAATGGCATGTACATACATGCTATGCCCGGCAGCTTGGGGTTAATGCAAGAATTGTACTTTAATAGTTATATAAGGTCCACATAATGAAAACTGAATTAGTATTTGGCCTGGAAATTGAGGATTTATGAAGCACAATTTTCAGTCTCTCCTGATTCGAATTATGTACGGGCGTGACCATATTAGGTACAAGATTAGCTGGCTGGGTGTCTGGAAAATGTGGAATCAAATCGTTGACTAAGGTTAGCCTGCGAGTTTAAACTTTGTATCCAATATGGCTGCAAAATCTTGATATGGGAAAGACTGAAAATTGTGCTCCATAAATCATTGATTTTCTGGCCAGATACTAACTCCA